AGGGCGCGGGAGGCCGCCTCCCGGCAAGCGGGCACAGCACGCAGCGCAGGGACACGGCCGAGCTGCCCTCGCCACGCTCAGCCCCGGCCGGCCGCGCAGGGCCCCGGGAGCGGGGAGGATGGAGTAAACGTCACCTCTATCGATTGCCTTAACTCTGACCTTATGTTCTCATTCTCAGTATGTCTTGGCCTCTTTCTCAGTCCCTCTTGTCAAACGTCCTCCTGTGGGAGACCGTCTTGGAAGGAGATACAGCCAGAGTTAGAGTTATGGAGGAAGCGGTTTGTGTCTTCTGCTCCCGGGGTCCCCAGGCAGGACCCTCACAGACCTCTGCAAGAGAAACGCACCAGGGCCCGTGCTGCAGCCACCACGTGCAAAGAGAAGTTTCCTGCTCTTAGATGTAACTACTGTAAATTCAGAATTTATCGTGCTTAGAGAGAAACTCCAGCAATGAATCCTGCCGCCGCAGGCAGCGGCTCCTGCAGCCCCTCGGGGGGCACCGGCAGCTCCCACAAGGGCACCTCGTCCTCCCCGCGTCCCCGCGTCCCGCAGGACACCTCTGGCCCTAGGTATGAGCTTCAGTTTGGCTGAGGACCCGTTCCGGAGCAGAGCTGAAGGTAAGAACGACAGAGAAAGCTGCAGCACCAGCCCGGGCAAAGGGGCGCAGCGCCTTTCGGCCCCCGGGGACGCTCGAGGGTGGGCAGCGGCTGTCACGCCGGCACCGTCCCACCGCGCTCCTGCACTGAGGGCGGCTGTTGCGGCAGGTTTAGGGAACACTGTCGTTCTCAGGACAGGCCCAGGGACTGGAAGACGTGTTCTGAAATTGGTCGTTCTAAGCTTATCTAACTGCTCTTTAGGTTATTTTCTGAATTTACAGCAATTTCATAAAAGAGAGGAATTTTCACAGGGAAGGAGAGTGGCTGACATCATGAAATATTCTATTTACAGCTGACTTCCTGGGAAATGTTTCAAGTCTTTGACATCAACCGGGAGCACAAAAATTTCAGAGATGAAAGGCCATGACTTTCAGAGAAAGGAATGAGAACCCTTAAACTCTGCGGGACTGCTGGAAGTGCCAAACACGGTGGCGGGGCGGGTAAGGAGAGGATGGACGGCACCTCCCCGGAGCGGGAGGACGGGGTGTCTACGGAGGGTGCGATGCAGGAGCTCAGGCAGGGTCTGCTGCTCCTGGGAGAGAGGGGGGGAGGGAAGCACACTGCCTACCGGGAGCACAGGAATGAAGGGAAGCAGCGGTGGAGGACAGGAGGGGGTTAAAGAGAGGCAGAGGATGGAGAAGGGGTGTCCCCGGGAACCCGGGGGTACTCGCAGGACGCTGCATGGGGAGCAGCAGATCGGCTGCACGCGGTGACCTGGACGGACACGGGCGGCCAGGGAAGGAAAGAGGAGGGGGGGGCTGCGGTGTGACACCAGGTGGGGTCAGGGGGGCTTTTCATTGCCGGCGCTGGGAGACCGAAGGGGCCGGTGGCCCCGGAGCAGGAACGAGCAAAGGGCCGATGCCTGGCAGGGGTGAGCTGTCGGAGATGCCGTGCCTGGTCGCCATTAAAAGCTGGTAACGTCCCAGTTCCCTGGCGTCGGTGGAGTCAGGCACAGTCAGCACTTTTTAGGAAAGCGCGGCGTGGCGTGCCTGATTTCAGAAGGGTCCCCAAATGCAATTAAACTCCGTGCATTCAGCACAGGACCCCGTGGCTCCCGACCGAGCAGTGCAGGGGGCAGGGGCCCCGGGGCAGACACCGGTCTCCGGGGAACGGCCGTCACGTGCATCTGCGGCCAAATCCAGAGAGACACAGCGGGGAGCAGGGCAAGATCCTGAGATGTTCTACCACACTGTGGTCGTCACGACAAGTTTGGTACCTACTGAGAGGGGGACCAGCAGTGCAGCCAGGCGGGCAGCGCCAGCCCAGGCGCCGGCGGGGAGACGTCAGCCTGCTGAAGGCTGGAGCGACGTGAACACCCCCCGGGGGTACGTCAGGGTCGGACACTCTGTCCCCCGGGCTACAGCTGGAAACGTCCCCAGCTGTGCTAGCACCACGTGGACGTGTCACCCATCCCTGTGATGATCTGCTTAGAAAAAGCCTTTCCAAAAGAAGGGCTCCCCTCAGCTCAGAGCTCCCAGCCGAACTGGCACCTCGCTGACCCCCAGCCACCACCCACTGGTGACGCCGGTGGGACGCGCTTACTGCGGCTTTGCTACTGTGGGAGGTGTTGTGCGGCTGCACGCTGCAAGGGCAGAGCGAGGTCGGAGATTCTGGGTCACTTCCTGCTCTAACTTTAAATTTCAAAGGCTTGTAAGGGTTCGCTCTCAAATCTCGGGCTCTAATTTAGCGTTTTGGGGTTTAGTTTAGTTTTACAGTTGGGTGGGGATGTCGGGGCAAAGGGGACACTGCGGCCACGGGGACAGCAGGTCGGAGCAAAGGCCGGGTGCCAGCGGGGCGGTGGGTGGCCTGGCGCGGGGGACACGCTGGGCAGCGTGAGGGACACGGAGGGGTCCGTGCTGCTCGGGGAGCGTGACGGTCACAGCTCCAGCGTGGGAGAGGGAACCGGTGTCTCCCGAGTGCCATGAGGGAACCTGAGTAGGACTTTAAGAGAAAGAGGCTCCTGCGTGTCCTGCCGTCCCTCTGCTGTCACCTTTCAGGTCTCCTGGGCTGTGCGGGCTCCGCACAGGTCTGTGCGTGGAGGAGGAGAGCAAGGGCTGAGAGGATCTACCACGCTTAGGGCACTGCGTAGACGCCTCTGAGCCATCAGCCACCCCACCGGCACGGAGACGCGAGCGACCCAGCGCTCAGCCGGACACGGCCGCTGCGAGTGCCCACGGGAGGGACGCCCGGCGGCAGTCCTTGCCCGGAGCCACGCGTCACACCCCCGTCCTGCGCCCTGCCAAAACACCTCCCTGCGGGTCTCCAGAGCTGGCTCGGTCCAGAAACGGCGCCGAGCTCTGCCTCAGCGAACAAAGGTCGGGGTGGTGCTGCCGTGCCCTTCTAAGGGCTGTCACAGACCACCCCGGTGAGGGCTCCCGCTCAGCAGTGACTGCCCGGAGCTCTAATACGGAGTCTGACAACATTTGGAGATCCTTTGAAATGAAAAGCGCTAGAGAAACACACATTGTTATTAATCGTTCAGGAGCAAACATTTAGAAGTGAAACCCACGACTAAATACAGCAGCTTAACAACAGCATCGAGACAGAGGAGGAACATGGAACAACAGGAAGGCAATTTAAAGGGAAAAAGCAACAGTGCGAGCTCGCTACGTGTGCGGTGCGGAGAGAGGAGCCATGAACAAATCACACCAACTTCTGGAAAGCATGTCTCAGCGTTGCCTCTCCCCGTGCGGCTGAGAAGTCCTGACATCTCTGAAATGCCCCTCAAAACACACCCCGGACTGCTCGGCACAGTTACACTCCGCTTACGCGCCTCCCTGTCCCCCAGGGTGCCTGAGCCCTGCACCCGCCCCCTCCCCTGGCCAGCGACCAGCCTCTTACCGTGCCGCGACCACCGGTGACTTCTTCCCGGGATCTAACGTGGACCCGGCTGGTTCCTCCCCCAGTGATCGTGTATCCTTATTCAGTTGCTGTAGTCGGGAACTTAGCTCACTGATCACAGTTGGCTTGTCATCATCAGCCCCATGGATCGGCCTGCTCTCCATGGGGTCCCCCCATAGCTTGGACCTTCTCTGAAAGAGGTAGCGTGGCCGGCCAATGCTGGCTGATGCCAGAGTGGCCGCATGTTGCTGGGAGATGAGCTCGCTGTCCGAAGACTGCTTCAAAAGTGGGTCCCTGAAAGTAACTGGCCCCTTGCTGAGCTGGGACTTGAGTTTTGGCTTTGGAGGCACTGGTGGCTTCTCGAGTATAAAAGTTTGTCCATCCGCAAAGGAAGTGTATGTGTCAGTAGGCTCCCCGCTTTCTGAGGACAACGTAGACATGCTGGAGACCGTCGAGATGGTGCTTGTGGTCTCCAGGTGATGGTCACTTGAACTTCTGGTGTCCACCTCTTCCACTCCCGAGTCTGCAGCAGACTCTGGGGCTACGGGGGCATCAGAGGGCTTCCCTGAGGGTGTTCCGCCAGTGGTAGAAGGTGCTACTGCTGCCGCTGGTATGGATGGCGTGCTAGGCGTAGCCAGGTGGCTGACCGGTGTGCCAGGGGTGGTGACCAGTACCCCATTTGCAAACTCATCCGGTGGAGGCACCAGCCCTATCTTGGCCAGCTCCTCCCTGGTCTCTTCGTCACTTGAGGACAACTGAGCAGGCGGGAGGGTAACCGTGTAGGGCTCCACTTCTTCCTCCGAACTCCCTTGTCCCAACGTCTTGTCAGAGGCTGGACTGACCAGAGGCTTTCCCACGGGACTGGGCTGGGTCTCTGCTTTGGGGGACTCTGCTGGCTCCGTGCATGCTTCGGGGACAGCCGGCTTCTCCTCTTTTATCTCAAGTCCTATCTCGTCTTGGCCGTTACTTGTGGCATGAACCATGATGAGGCCAGCGGTCTTCTGCTGTGATGTATCCACTATGCTAATAATCATGGACTTCTTGTCTTCCTGTTTTTTCTCCTCCTTCCCAGGTGTTTCTGCTCTTGCCTCAGTTTCTTTTCTCAGTGTGGACGGAGTCCCCCACTGGCTCTTCGTAGGGGCCAAAGTCCCAGAGTCTGTTCCGATTGCCCCTTTGCCTCCAGGTGAGTACGCAGGGGACACCAAGCTCTCCAACTCCCCCCTCTCTGGTTCTTTGGTTTGGATGTCCACAAACAGGGGTGCTGCTCTCTCTGAGTCTGGGCTGTGGATCGGGGTGGGCGACCGGGATGGGACTTGAGTTGAGAGGGCCCGTTCCCTTGCGGCCAGCGCAAGCGCCAGTGGCGAGTTCGGATCCAAGGGCTTTCCTGTTAGGGGGTGGATGAACGTTGAGGATGAGCTGCTAATTAATGGCTTTAAAGCTGAGACAGGGGAAGGCAGTAGTACATCTCGGCTTCCTAACAACCGCTCATCAATAGACCTGGACTGCTGCAAGGATGGCATGTCGCTGCTGGGGGGGCTTCCTTCAATGGCCCCAACCGAGAGGAAGACAGTGGATTTCCGCCTCTCATCCAGACGACGGTCTCTGTCCTTCATGACTCCAGCGATGGCAGTGGCAAAGGGGATGCTCGTGGCTTCAACCTGAGCAATGCCGGTGTGGTGCTGATACTCCACTCCACTCAGGCGATGGCTCCTGCGGGTGGGAGAGGGCTCCCTCGTAAAGCCTCCGGTGATGGACAGTGTTGCTCTCTCCTGTGCATCCTCCACTTGTAACTGCTTCACAAGAGGACTCTTCTTCCTCTGGGGCTTGGTGGGAGCAAACAGGCTGACGTTGAACTGACCCATGTTGGCATAAGGGTTGTCAATCACTCTCCCCTTCCTCTTCAGCTTCTCTGGAGGGGTTGCAGATGGTCCAGGCCGGGGGATCTCTGTTGGCTCCACGGGAAGATGAGAGGAATCCTGGAGGATTATCATGGATCGGGCCCTCTTCTGCCTTTCAGGGTAAGGAATGGAAGTCCTCGCCTGATCGTACATCTCAGCTGCGCTAATGACCTGCGGGAGTCCGTGGAGTTTCGCCTCCAGGCTTGGCTTAAAGCTTGATCTTATGGTATCATAAGCTCTTCCTGGGGGCGGAGGTGGCGAGAAGGATGGAGGGGGGCCTGTGTCAAAGTAATATGGAGAAGGAGGTGGGGGCGGGGCTGTCTGAGGTGGTGGTGGAATCCCATGTCCTTCCCTAACAGTGTCTTGCATCGATGTGCTCCGGGGAAACTTCCCATCTAGCAAAGAAGCAGCAAGTTTCTCGTCTTCACCTGGAAAACAAGAAGAACGGTGAAGTCAGAGAGGAAGTCTCCAGAGAACCCAGAGCGTGACTGTTGCTGCGAATTGGATATATGACATCCCTTCCTTCCCCCCACCCCGCTTTATCCCTGTGGTGACTTTCCACTTCATCTTTTCTTTGCCTGGTGCCAGCGGTTGCAGTTTGGCCCTTCGCTCATGTTCCCTTGGCACGCGAGGGCGGCCGCAGACTCTCACAATGTCTTACATTGTTTTAAACCCATCAGACAGCTGTGCTCAACACTTTCCAAGCAGGCTGAGAGCTCTCCAGACCAACGCAACAGCGAGAGAATTGAACACTTGCTCGATCAAACCTCCCGACACCCAACCGCCGACGTGTGAGACAGCCGAGTGCCACCAGGTTGTGCAACTCGCAGCAAACACTGCCGGCTCCCATGTGCGGGTTCTCGCGCTCTGCCGCTCGCTGTTCTCGTGTCACACTCCCCCCTTCCCCCCGAGGGGTTACATATGCTTCCATGTGCCAGACTGAATTCAGAAGCAGGGTCTCGCAGAAACTTAAGTTACGTATTTCGAGAATTGGAAGAACCCGAGGAAGCCACATTCTGCCATTCTGACTGGTAACTCTACTCCACTCCGGTGAGACCCCACCTGGAGTACTGCATCCAGCTCTGGAGTCCCCAACAGAAGAAGGACATGGACCTGCTGGAGCGTGTCCAGAGGAGAGCCATGAGGATGATGCGAGGGCTGGAGCACCTCTCCCATGAGGAGAGGCTGAGAGAGTTGGGGCTGTTCAGCCTGGAGAAGAGAAG